GCATTTCATTAAAATCTTCAAATCACTCACATACCATTTTGTTGCATAAACTGGTTTCTCACTAAAAACACCTTTTGAGCACCTCATGCTAACCATTTAGAGTGTGTGTGCATAATTTCTTGGAATCAAAACAGACTATCATGATCTATGTACCACAAAATGCATTCTTGCCTTTACATGCTCTCTATGCTACACTAGTTTGAAAATGAATGAAGTTCCTTGAGATCTTTTGATGGCAACAGATTAATATGATCATAGGTAACATGTTTGTGTATTCACTTTGCTGTTTTGAGCATTGCATCAAAAAAAAAACTCACTTGTGGACACCAAATTTCATGATACACACAAGTCACTTAACATTGACATTCTTGGCATAACACATGATATGTTTGATTTTCTCATTTCCACATGTTTGTTTGATTATTCTAAGCATGCCTATGTGTGTGGTTTACTGTTTTGCTGTCTTGCATCAAAAGTCACCTATTGACACCAAGATTCAAAATGCACAAAATCACTCAAATGTTGTTTTTTGCACATACTTGTTTTCTCACTAAAACAACACCTCACACACCTCATATTGGTCAATTATAACATGTATGTATGATCATTTCTTTGAAAAACTCACTGTCATGAAAAATCACTTTCAAAATGAAAAATGTCACTTTTTGCACTTAACTTCCACTGGTGGAGGTTAGTGTTATTTTAGGCTTTTTTTCAAAAATGTCACTTTTTGCACTTAACTTCCACTGGTGGAGGTTAGTGTTATTTTAGGCTTTTTTCAAAAATGTCACATTTTGTACTTAACTTCCACTGGTGGAAGTTATGTGTTAAATTTGCCTTTTTCAAAATGGTCACATACACTTCCATACACTTGCTACTTTTTGCACAAGTTTATTTTTCACTAAAACCACATCACACACACTTCATATCAGTCATTTATAAGATGTTAGAATGATCACTTTGTCATAAAACCCTTTACATCAAAATCTCATTCTTCAAATGCTCATTTTTTTCCACAAAGTGACATATCACACATCATCTTTGCATCAACTTTGTTTTGGATTGAAACACTTGATCCAACAGTTCATATCTATCATTTATAGAATGTTTGCATAGCTACTTGAATCTAAAACTGTTTGGAACAAGAATCACACATTGAAATGCATACTCACACACAAGAAAGGCACTTTGAACACCAAAACTTTATACTGTCATTACAGCCCCTGGTTTTTCATGTGAACTCAGTTCTTAACTCATTTTAGAAGTGTGTGTAAGGTTAGAATGATCAATACTTATCAGAAACAGAAATACCAACTTTCATGCATAATTTATGTTATCTTTGCATTTTGTATGTGACATTTCAATACAGTTCAGTTTCAGCTCCAAGAAGGATTTAAACTCACTCATTACCCTTTACCCATGATGTATGTATGGCTGTTACAGTTTGAATTTGAGTGTGTGAGGCTACTCATGAGAAAATGCAATTTTTGAGCCTAAAAGAAGGTACTATCGGATTTTGCAGTAGAAATTGAATTTCAAAAAACCAACACCACCATCCTCTTCCTCATTCAATTCTACCCAATTTCCATATAAAATTTGCCTCGACCCGATAAGCGGTTAGTGAGATACGGTATAAATCGTATTTGGTTTTGATTATGTGTTTGCCCAGCCATGGAACCAAGCAAGCTTTATATATATATTGGTGTACATTTGTTATTGGATGTATGGCCGCCCCAGCGGTAGAAACTTGCGCGCGTATTGTTCTTGGCATGGGTTCGATCCTTGGTGATAACCCTTGTTGCCACTTTTTGTCATTTTTCACATGAAACTTCAAAAAAATCATAACTCCCTCATTTTTTATCGTTTTGCGCCCGTTCTTTTTTCATTGTGTTTTTTTTATATGTACTTTCATACCATGTAATTATTTCCCATGTTTTATTATTTTTTCACCATGTTTGATTATGCGCGATCCGCGCGTTGACAGTACTAACCCTAATCGGTTGCAGATGAAAGGTAAAAGGGTTTCACTTATTTTCTTTGTGGAAATTTGATTGTTATCATACCTATACATGTTTGTCAACATGTTAGAAATTTTACCTTGAATTATTATCATGTTTACCTCATCTGTTTGTTAACTATACTCCAGGTGCGAACTGTCGTCACGGTTCTCATACTGAATCAGCTGCTTTGATTGTTATCATTGCTTTTTCATCTTTAATCTTTTTCATTGGTTGTTACCATGAATGCTTTTGTATGTTATTTTTATTTTTATCCCCAAGTGAAGCTTGTTAGCTTTCGTCCAGTTTCCGACAATACTGTCCCTCCAAAGGAAGGTCTGTCCACTTGACTGTCAATGTCTTGGACCAAAAATATCTGTTTTCCCTTTGACTTGGTTAAGTCATTTTAACCCTAATTAAGAAACCTCTAGACTTTGCTTGAAGTCTAAGAAACCCACCCATACTAGGAGTGTTCTTCAACTAGAACCCTAGGAAAGAGTTCGTCAACTCTGTGTAAGAATCATCGTCATGATTTCTTACTTCCCCTTTTAATTTAGACTAGGGAGTTTTGTCAAACTCCACACACACATTGTCATGTTTGCTCCCCCCTTTTGAACCTTGATCATCATCAAGTTTTTTTTCCCCTTGTGAGGTGAACTACGATTGCTCTGATTCTATCCTAGTCAGGATACGTAGGCAGAAGGTGCGATGCCTTTGCGAGCAAACTTAGAAAACCACTTAGGCCTTTTTATTTATTTTATCTCAATTCCCAATCCTTAAACCATAGTGCACAATTCACAAACTTAGCAATCAATCAAACAAAAGGTTCCTGTAGAGTACTACAGATATTTAGGGTGCTAATACCTTCCCTAGATATAACCAACCCCCGAATCCCCGAATCTCTTAAAGCGTTGTTGTCACATCGCGCAAAAGGTTCTTTCATTCTTTAGACCTATCCTTTGGATAAATTAAAGACCGGTTGTAAAAAGAAATAAGGTTCAAGTTAATTAATAGCTTGATATCAAATTTTCACCGCAACAGTATGTATGTGTGTGTGTGTGTGTGTGTGAGTGTATGTGTGTACGTGTGCGTGTACGTGTGTGTATGTGTATATGCGCGTGTATCTGTTCGTGTGCGTGTGTGCGTGCTTATGTGTGTGTGTGTCTGTCGATGTTTTGCTTCCCACTTGTATTGGTGATTGGTTCTTTGTGTATTTTTTGTTGCTTTCTGTTGGCTGTTAGGTGCCTCTTATACCTTTCTCAGTCTCTTTGTTTCTTTCTTAGAAACAAGGTAGAGAGACAGTCGGTTTTCCTATTACAATTGGTTTGCATCAAGGTTCAACTCTAAGCCCCTACATTTTTACCTTAATATTGGATGTACTCACAGAACACATCCAAGAGCTAGCACCGAGATACATATTTTTTACAGATGATATAATTCTTATTGGAGAGTCGAAGGAGGATTTAAATAAGAGATTGGAAACTTGGAGACGAGCTTTGTAACATATGATTTTCGCCTAAGTAGAATTAAGACAAAGTATGTGGAATGTAAGTTCTACAAAAGAAGAAGCGTTTATAACCTAGAGGCGAAAGTTGGAGACCGTATTATCCATTAAGTAACACAGTTTAAATATTTTGGTCCATAATACAAAATGATGGATAAATAAAAGGAGATGTAAACAATGGAATTCAAGTTGGGTGGTTGAAATGGAGAAGAGCATTAGTTGTTTTATGTGATAAAATGTATCACTCAAGTTGAAAGAAAAGTCCTATTAGACTACAGTGAAACCTATGATTTTGTACGAGACAGAATGTTGGACAGGTAAAGTTAACGCGAGAATAAAGTAATTGTAGCAGAGATGGGGGTGCAACGATGAATGTGTGGTAAGAATCAACATGATATAATTAGAAATTAAAATATTAGAGAGTGTCAGGGTAGTGCCTATAATGGAAAAGATGGTGGAAAATAGACTTAGGTGGTTTGGACATGTAGAAAGAAGACCTGTAGATTATGTAGTAAGAAGAGTAGACTGGATGGAGAGAAGGAAAAACAATTAGAAGAAGGGGAAAATCTATAAAGACTATCATAGAAGTTATTAAGAAAGATCTTGAGATTAATGATTTGGATAAAAACATGGTCCTTTATGGAAATTATGTCGAAAGTTGATCCATATAGCCGACCACACTTAGGGTCTAATTGGTTGTGAGATGAAAATGAGAAGAGAGAAAGATGTCAGGAAGAGTGTGAGAAGAGAGAAAGAAGTAAGAAATAGAGTGAATTTGATGTATTGTTTGTTATGAGAGAAGTATGAGAGAAATTGAAGAGAAAGAAGTGTAATTATTTTTGAAAAGACAAAAATTTCTTTTTTAATATTATACCATAGGTTAGAAAAAAAGGTGAAAGTTAATAAGACAATGAGTGGTAAAATTAAAAATTTTACACTCTTCTTTATTTCTCTCATAATATGAAAAAATTAGAAAAATGGCGGCACACATGGATTATAAGTCTCTCTCATTTCTTCAACCTCTTTTTTTTTCTCCTCTACCAATCGAATCCTTAGTGGAATAAGACATTGTTGTTGTAATATTTTTTTTTCATAAAAACCAATTTTAAAAATATAAAAATATTGTGTTTTAGAGCTAAAATGAATCTACCAATAATTTTATATGATCAAAATTTGAAGAATAGACTCCTAAAGAGGTTTTGAAATTCTAAAAATCTAAAAATAATAATATTTAACTTAATTCATAGATTATTTATTTTTCTACCAAATTAATCATTAAACTATTAAAATCAACTGCAACATCATTAATTTTTTTTATTCAAAAGAATCACACTCTTATGTTTTAAGTATTTGAAAATAAGAGAACAAGTCAAACCCAACTCTCAACTCATTCTTAAAAAACTGCCTTACCAATAATACCTAAGCATTAAACGACAATGTCCAACAACTCGTTATGCAAATAAAATTTGGTTCTTCTACTAAACCCGAATGAATGATCAATGTCCTCGCAAGACCAAACACTAGCCTCTCTTCTCTCCCAGTTAGCCCTATCCTTCGACGACATCGTTTTAGGTTTAGCCAACCAATGTACACCCAAATATCACACCACTAAAGTACCTAAACATCACATTGGCAAAGCACCAAATCAACACATGTCTATTAAACACCATAACAACAATTGCTTCGTTTTCAAAATGAATCAATGTCTCAATTCAACCAACCTGCACAAGCATCTCTAGCCCAATCCAACGTAACCCAACTACGACAACATGGATACCAAACTCAATTACAATAATATATGTGACTAGAAAAAGATGTTAGATATGATTGATGACACTAATATTCCAAAGACCTCGCTCCAAACACCTCAAGTGAATCCAATGAGGCATCAAATATCTCAGATGAATTCTGGGAGACAACAACCACATTTGAGAAATCATCTGCAGTCTCAACATTGAATGGCACAATTAGATTGTGAAATCAATGATCGTTATGATCAAGTACATCATTATAATTTTTTTACAAAATTTTCCGCCTTGTAATTCTATTTAAATTTAATAATATTAGTATTTTTTACAATTATTTTATTTTTAATTAATTATAAATTTAATTTAAAAATAAAAAAAATACAATACACGCATATCCAAGAGAGAATGACAAATCGTCTTAGAACAACAATGCATGTTCTTTCTGCATTGGCTTGTCCATAATGCATGCGCCAATAAACATAACGCCTGAAGTCAAGTTTGAGTGCATGAGTCATTGCTAATGAAACATTCTTTTATATACAATTTTTTTGTTTAAACATAAATATTTTAATTTATAATTTAAAATGTTAATTATTTAGATATTAAATTTAAAAAACTTGAATTTTATTCTTTCAAAATTTGAAGAATAGACTCTAGGGAGATTTTAAAAGTTTGATAATTTAAAAAATAATAACATCCAATTTTAATCCATAGATTATTTATTTTTTTTATACAAATTTAATCACTAAAGTATTAAAATCAAATCCAACTTTCTTAAATCCAACAATTTCATTAAAGCATATCACATAATCTCATTCTTAAAACAAAAATGTTATTCTTATATTCTTTTCTACATCCTACACCTAATTTAGGTGAATAAATTTCTCAGAACATAGTTAATAATATATATTCTATTGGTTAATGAAGTAGTGAAAGTGGTTAATAAATTCTAGGTAAAATAATTGACTAATAATGTAGATTTTGGTGGTTAATGCAACTGTGAAGTTGATTAATACGTAATCTTATATTTGTATTATAAAATAAATTTTAAAATTAAATATTTTAAAAAAATTAATATTTTAAAAAATATATTATTTTAATTAAAAAAACACTGTTCATCACGTACAAACCCTTATATTTGCATACGGTAGGATGTGATGTAAACATAACACTTGTGTTCTTAAAAAGTTGCCTTACCAACAAGACCTAAGCACTAACCAACCACGTCCAAAACCTTGTTCTGCAAACACACTTTGGTTCTTATACTAAACCCGAATGAATCATCAATGTCCTCGCAAGACCAAGCACTAGTTTCTATTATCTCCCAGTTAGCCCTATCCTTCGACGGCGCCGTTTTAGGTTTATCCTTAGCCTACGTCGCCGTTCGCTCCATTCAAAAATTCACCCTCACCTCCGCCGCTCTCCGTAAGATCACCCACGCTCCTTCCGTCTCCGTCTCTGACCTTCGCTCGCTCCTCGACGAGACCGTCTCGGAGGATGATGGAAACAATTCCGGCGATGGTAAAATCGTAATTGTACGTGGTACTGTTGATGCCAAGTCCGCTGTTGACGGCAGTTGGAAAGCCTTGTGGCCTGGGGTTTTGATTTCTCGTGAGTCCGGTGATAAAGGCGTGGTTCTTCAAAGAACTCAAACGGTAACTGTTTTTTGTTAGTGTTTGTTTGCTTATAATTGTTGCAGTTTATAGAGATTTAGTGTGTTTGGTTCTGCGGTGACACGAATTGATTTTGTTGAATTGTTTATGTGAGTTGGATTTAAAGTGTTTAAAAGTGATTCATGCAATTTTATTGTGGATTAGAAGACTAATTTTCATTTATTGTCATGAAGTGTATATACAGTGAATGGAAAGGCTTATTTGGATGGACTTCTGATCTTCGAACCCTATTTGCAAGATCTCGGAGACCACGAGAGTCCACATCCTTAAGAAAGGTAATGCATAATGTTGTTACTTGTCGCTCATACTGTATCCAGAATTTCTGGCTCATACAACTTCAGGATCCCGCTGATCAGGACACGCTAGAGCTGATGGAGCTACGAGGGAAAAGATGAACTTAGCAGAATATATGAAAGCATCTAAAAATATTTTTGAATATCTTAGTTTATGTTGTAGGATTATTTGCTTATGAGAGTAGATTTGATACCCATGGTTGTGGAAAAGAATGAAGGAGAGAGTGTCATTGATTTAAATTTCAATGGCTGGAGTTTAGTGTTTGAGTAAAAAAGATATGGAGAGATTCCATCAGTACAATAGAGTTCTAGATTCAAGGAAACTCTATAATTGAATAGTGTGGGAACAGTTCATAGATATGGTACTGTTTTAATATCATGTTAAACTATAGATATTTGGGAAGATAATAAAGAAAAGATAGATCAAACTCTGAAGAATAATATTCAATACTGATTTATGATGTGCTAAGAAGATAAAAAATTGAAATTCCTGTTTATACTAACACTAGACTCTTAGTCTTTGCTCTTTTGCCATAAATAAATAAGGAAATAAATCATGTAATATAGGAAGCGATACAGTGTAAAATAGTATTACACCGTCATTCAGTAGGGATTCATCATTCAGCCATGCCACAAAATTAATTAAAAAATATCAAAGTGACTTGGCAGAATACGTGTGATAGTGTAAAACTATTTTACACTGTCTGTGTATATCCTTTTTTCTCATATAGGAACTACTCCTAATATACTTTAAAGCATCGAAAGATACAATACTACTTATACAACAGTAATACAATAATGACATTATTAAATATATATTTTTATTTTAGGTGCCTTTTGTTCTCATTGATGTTGGACAACAGTCAAATACTGAATATGTTGTTGTCAGCATGGATGGGTCGACACATCCTTTACCTCTTACAACAGTTTATCACAATTTGCAACCCATAAATCCTCCTTATACTCTCTTGCAAGCTTTTTTTGGGCATGAATATCCGGTAAGTTAATATTCACTATAAGTTTGATTTTGGAATTTTACCTCTGTCTTGCTCTTGGTCTCTTGTTAGATTGTTGATTTTGAAATGATAACATATGATGTTATGTTTTTTTTCTTTCTGCAGGTTGGACTGCTTGATGAAGAGAAAATTCTTCCCTTGGGGAAGGATATCAATGCTGTAGGCCTTTGCAGTTTAAGAAATGGAATTGCTGAAATAAAGTCTTGCGAAGATCTTCCATATTTTCTGTAAGTTTCTTTTCCTTGAAATAAACTGTTAAAATGTTGATTGTTGGAAACCATGTTCCATTTTGTATTTTTTTGCCATACTTTGGGTAATAATAGTAGGGATTGTTTCAGTTTAAGGTAACTTAATGCTGTTCCTTTTCTCTACTGAATGGTGGTCCTGTAGGAAAAGTATTGTGGGAAATGTCAGTTTACTGGTAGACTATTGTTGGAAATTCCACCTTCATTGCGGTCTGCCCCTAGCCGCCTAATTGTTGTATATTGGTTGCCTACAGTGCAGCCTCCAATACCTTCATTGTATTGGGTGTGAAGGGGTGGATTTAGTCCCACGTTACTTAGGTACTTAGGTGTTTATAAAGCTCAGGCCGCCCTCGTCTTACAAACTGGTTTTGTATGATTGAGTTAGGCCGAACTCTAAATTCTATGAACTACGATGCATGGATACAGTCCATATCTGATACAGAAATACATTGTTTTTTGAAAAATAGAACACGGTTTCCCAAATAAAAACTCACTAGATATAATAACTATATTGTTGCAGTTCCGTGATGAATTGATTTTATTTATTTTAAAACGGTCTCCGATACATCATGGCATGCCAATGGCGTATCTAGGCATGACAACATAACCCATACCCGTGGGTACCCACCCGAACCCGTCCCGAAGTTGACGGAGAAAATCTGCTTTGACTGAGTTTGGGTTTTTCCCGATTAAAAAATATGGGGGCGGGTCGGGTAATGGGGACACTAGTACCCACTCCGAACCCGTCCCGTTTATTTCATTATGTACATTATTATTTAGTTTTGTTAATTTGGAATATTGAATATGTGGTCAATGTTTTGATATTTTGATATGTATTAATTATTTAAAATTTTTGAAATGTACGTATGAAATTTTTTGAGATTGTTTTATTTTATCATTTGTAGTGTAATTTGATTTTGAAAAAAATAAATATTTCTATTAAAAAAAAGTTGATTTTACTAAATGGATGGTGGCGGGGCGGGGATATGCGAACCCAACCCGACCCCGTTTGAGACGGGTTTGGGTTTTAATTCTCCATCCCCGTTTGGGTTTGGGGAACGGGGATTGTTTGGGGATTTAGGTTTGGGTTTGGGGGAGGGAAAAACCATTCCCGACTGCCCCGTTGCCATGCCTAGGCGTATCAGATATTATCAAGTATGATACAGGAGGAAAAATTGAGTATCGTGCATCATAGCTTGAAGAATTACAACCATTTTGTTCTGTTGTCTTTTAATTATTAATTTTTATATTTACATTTGTGAGCATGATAGGGGAGTATCTGTGTGATTTTAGTGGAAGCTGTGCATACTCTCTTGCCAACAAGTAGAACAGCTACCTGTGATGTATAAATTGTTTCTGGTGAAGTATAGTTTGTGAACTCTACAACAAATACTGAATTATTGATGTTTTTTCATCCCTGTTGCATGTTTTAGTGCATATATGATATGATATACTCAAGTAAATGATTTGTGTTTTCTGTAGGTCTGACTTGAGTAAAAATCAGATGGTTGTAGAACTTTCCTTCAAAACAAGAGTATTGTTTTGGAGTGGCATTCTTCTTGGTTCAATGTCAGTTGGGATCATTGGCTATGCAGTTGTGAGGTATGTAGGTTTTCTGGACCAGTTACTTTAAACTTATTGTATATTTAATGTTTTGAATTTCATTAATCACGGCTGACTTTAGAATTTTGACTTTGGTTGTATAAATTTTGACACAATGAATCAATAGAGGAATTGTTTAACTTGTTTGGCACACATTGATGGCCTTAATTTTGATGATGATAAAAATGCACGTGATTTAAAATAATATTGTTCTTGGTGGTTAAAATTTATGAGGACAAATTTTCATTTTCTCAGGAATTGGAATAGATGGAAACAATGGAAGCATCGAAGGCAGCTCCAACAACAAAGGCCAACAATCACTGAAGTTGATTCTCAGCTAGATGACGATGATATTGAAAATGTTCCAGACGGACAATTATGCGTTATATGTCTGACGAGGAGAAGGCGTTCCGTTTTCATTCCATGTGGGCATCTTGTATGTTGCCAAGGGTGTGCTGTATCAGTTGAAAGTGAAGTGGCGCCCAAGTGTCCAGTTTGTCGCCAGGAGGTTCGGGATTCAGTTCGAATCTTTGAAGCTTGAGTAGACAGAGGCTGGTTTTTCCTTCCACTGTCTGTGGCAGGAGGCTTCCATGCCTGTTGATGATGACAAGTGATGCATTTTATTTGTATAGATCTATCATTTTAGTGAAAACCTGCCTTTGCCCGAATTTGATATGAAACATGAACTTCTCTAATTATGTATTGAATATGGCTTGAATAGGGCCGTCTGAGTTTAAGTCATAGCCAGCTCTCACTGTATCAGGTTTTTCAGTACTTAAAGTTCTTTAATTTTTTTTGTTAGAGTGAGAAGTTATTCGCCGAGTTGAATCCTTACTGCATATCTTGTAGTGATACATATTTCATTTCACCATATAGCTGTTGACTGAACATGGTTTTACTGTAATGCTTGAGCTTTAATGGAACATAAAAAAACAGACATCAAATTAGATAATTTGCATCTTTTAATCACACAGACATTTTTATAGTTGAAAATTTAGGATAAAGAAGCAATACATTGTGGTGAAATAATTCACCACGATGGCACATGTAACTTCTATACAGAACTCCAACAACAAACTACGATGCCTAAAGTCATGCTGTCAATGTAGTTTATCCAATTTCCACAAAGAACAGAAAGACACATGTTGCCCCTTCCACCATAGTCCCACACTTGTATTGTTCTCTTCTTCTAGTTTCATCTCCCAATTACTATCATACTTTCTTAACAAAGCTCGACCGCCGTCAATCGCATCTTCTCCAAATATTTCCTCCGCAAACCCAGCCTCTTTCATTCTTTCACTCCATTTTTCTCTCCTTTCGTTCATCTCACGCTGGTTTGTCAATGCTTTTGAAGCCTCGCCTTCCATCATTCTCCTTTCATCGCTCTCGCGACTTTTGAATGCTGAACTGGTTGAGTCCAAAAACTTCCATAAGTAGTCCACTCTTCGAGAGAATCTAGTTGCAAAATCGCCACAGCTACTGCAGCAACACTCCATGTTGTTCTCACTCAATATCACCCCTTTAGGCTCCATGTTTCTCAACACCTTCAGAAACTCACTTCTTTCATCAGGATTGTTATGATTCAAGTGGTGCAACCTGAATTGAGCACAGACAATTAAAGTTTCATTCGGGGCGGTGTCAATGCTTTTCGCATTTAATGTCTGCAATGGAATGTTATCAAGCTTGTTTATCTGCAGGTTGACATTTATGGACTGAGCATAACCTAGGAGTCTAGAAGAGAAGTTGTCACCACATGGGCCTATTGAAAATGGTGTCTCCATGTTTTGGTCATTTTCAGTCGATGAAGCAGCAACCACAGTGAGACGAACCACAGGTGGAGGTCCACCGGGTCGACGACTCAAAGCCTCTAGAAAAGTTGGCCATTGCACACCATGAGAGACTCCAATGTCGAGGATGTGAAGGGTGCGCGAATCATTCGGATCTTCAGCTAGAACTTGAAGGATGGAAGCATTTGCAATGTTATTAGGAAAGGAAAACCAAGGGCTAACCTCATAGAACTTCAGTAACGACTTTTGGAAGAATCGCGGTTCGGTAGATGCAAAAGTTATAGTCCCTGAAGAGGTAGACGACGAAGATGAAGACAGATGGTGTGTCAACGCTCGGAGTCCATGCGCTGCAAGCCGGTGGTTGGCATCACCGGTAGTTGAAGCTAGCTCATGGAGAACATATAAAAGATGTTGCACGCGATTCAGGTTTCCCCCGGTTATCGCTACAGCACACGGATTCAACAACTGCTCAGCCCATCTACCATCCTTATTGTTTCCATTGTTACAGTTACTTCCATTAGCCCTAGCAGCACCTTTCTTGTTCCCACCAGATTTTCTAACCACCGTCCCTTCAAGACCTGCATCTCCATTATCACCTTCATTCATCACACGCCTCTTGACTCTCTTATTCTTTTGGTTTCGTGATTGTTTCTCGAGACTCGACTCATCATCAACATTTCGTTTCTTCGGTAAATCAGAAAAAATTACATTGTTTGAACTATTAGGCTCAAGTGATGTTGTGCTTGTGGTAGTAGTAGTAGTACTAGCAGCAACAACATTGGTCCCGCTGTTCGTGGCATTAGCAGAATCACAAATCGCATCAGTTCGATACTGGCTCCTTATATCTTGATTCTGATCCCATAACTGATACTCTTGGATGTAACCGCTGTTATACGGATCATCCAAGAACGACGGAAAGAATGAAACAGAACCTTCAAGCCAGTCAAGAATGTGATCCGATGTCGGGTTTGGTTCCATAATCATCGCGATGAAAAAAAAAGAAACTTTCGAGATATCAAAGACGAAAGATTGAAGGGTTTGAAAGGGTTAGTAGTGTTCTTGGATCATTGACCAAAAACAAGAGATCATAGAAGATAGAACCAAAGACTTTTAAGTTTTGAAGTTCAATAGTTTCTCACATGTACTTATAAAATAAAACATTTAGCTTATAATAGAGGTGCTACATTAACAAGTAGTGACAAATAAGGGAATTTTCTAATTGTTTGTGTGCTGTTGGTTTGGAGGATGTGATGTTTTATTGAGGTTTTTAAATGGTTTAACATAGGCAACTAGGAGACGAGGTTGTCTCTTCTTTGTGTTGGGTGGTTAACTTGTTCTTTTTGTATTGTATTGGAGATTTATATATACTGTTTAAGATTTAATTTGTGTGTTGAAGAATGTGATAGGTTGTTTAAAAATTTTAGCCGGCAAATATTATTTGACTAATTGATGATTGTTGAAAAGTTTATGTCTGGCTGGGCTTATGCAACTTTTTGTACTGTATTTTGTTGTTAATGGTTCCTATCAAAATATTTTGGACATTCCTAATTAAGTGGAACTACTTTTAATCTTAATTAACAAGAGACAATGATGTATTGAAAATAATTACCCCTAATTAAGTGGAACTACTTTTAATCTTAATTAACCAGAGACAATGATGTATTGAAAATAATTACCCCTAACTTGGCATTCTTGAAAATTATATGTCTACTTGTACAATTTTAAATGGGCAAATATAAGATTATTGTACAGATTTTGTTTGTAAATAACAATGAATATTATGATTGAAATAAGTTAATCAGTAAAATTAAAAAAACTAATTTAGTGCTTAAGACGTTTTCTCTAATGTGAGATAGTTTCTCTTTCTTTTAAGTATTTTGAGTTATCAATGGGAGTCAATTTCTATCTTGAGTCTATTTGGGATTCTTTGATTACTTTGTTGAAAAAAAGATTCAATTCTTAGAAGCATTTAATACGTGAGTCTAGAGGGTAGAGTGATTCTACTTAATTCGGTGTTTAATGTTATTCTTATCTTCATCTCCTTCTTTTAAATGTCTGTTATGGTTTGAAAGAAGATTGTGCCTTTACAAATAAGATTTCTTTAAGGGGTGAAGAATGCTTCTAAGATTTTCTGGGTGATTTAGGATGATGTATGTATGCCAAAAAGTAGAGAGAATGGGGGAGTTTAAAAGTGAGGAATGTCCGACAGGTTTTATGACGAAATGGAGATAGAGGTTGCATGTAGGAGATTTAGAGCTTTGGAGGGATATTCTGATAGCTAGATATGGATATATCTCTATCTCCTCACATATTGGAGGTAGGGCTAGGTGTTTTCGTTCTTCTTCGTCCAAGTGGAAAGACACATCTCTCCTTGGGACAAAAGAGGAATGTAGCTTAGATTGGTTTTTTGTTGGCATTACTAGGAAAGTGGGGTCAGGTCTTCAAACTTCCTTCTGGGAGGATCCTTAGTTAGGGAGCACTCCTTAAGTCTAAGTATCCTGAGTTTTTTTCATCCAATTCTCTCCAACAAAAGGAGTTGGTGGGAGAGATATGAGATATTAGTAATGGGTTCATGACCTGAGATTTTAGATGAATGAGATCTTTCCTCCATAGAGAATTTCCCATTCTTAAGAGGCTTCATGGATTGCTTAGACATGTTATGCTTGCTCTGGATAGAGATAAGTGGATTTGAAAGCATTCTAGTGACAATACTTTTCTAGTGGCCTCCAGTTACCTTGTCCAGAGGAGGTGAAAGTGCAGTCACAGTATCGTTTGATATCACTTTTGTGTTTTGATGTTTTTGTCAATTCGAATATAGTTGTCTTATTCTGTTTGCGTATTTGTAAATTGCCTCTCGCTTATTATTTGCGTGCTTATACGATATCAATATTTCATTTTGTTGTGAATCTTGTTGTGAATTACAACAAAATTCAATATCAATTTGTGAGACAAAGAACAATAGCAACCAAAATAAATGGTCTTCAGCAATAATAACCGTACACAAATAATATAATAGAATAATGCAAGAAAAAATCGAGTTTACCTTGCTCGATCAAACGATCTACTTTGGGGGAGAGAGCAGCTCTCTAATTCACTAAAATCAGAAAGTTGTTACAAGAGATTACAAATGAGTTACAAGAAAATAACCTTATATGAATCACTCAAACCCAAGGTGTAATCTAAGGTTTTCTTTGTTCATAGCTGAAATCCTATGCTATATCCTTAAACCCTTACTCTCCCTTGTTGGTGTAAACTCTAAGATTATCACACACCAAGCATAAAAGAGATACATATTTATAATAGCAAATATCCAATGAACAAAACCCAAAATCACATGGACCAAATCGAAAAAGCCCGAAAACTCGAAAACACTATTCATCACACGAACAATATTATTCACCGTACAGGAGTTACTATTCATCCGTACAAATAACATTATTCACCGTATGGACTGCACTATTTATCGACCGCATTTTTTTCGTCCGACTTTCTAAAATTTCTGATTTTCACGGTAAATGCAATCTCCAAAATATGTTTTCTTTCTCTTCATCAAAAAAGGTTTTAAGACACATTTACAATAATCTCCACCTTGACTTTAAACCGTGTTGATACCAATTTAACAATCAACAACATTGCTACTCTCTACCAAATTGAAACTTTAATCAATAACTTTGATCAAATTCAAGCAACCCTTGAATCTTGAATTCGCAACTTGAATCCACTTGTTCCTAATTACCCTTTTCTGCCTAGGTAA